CAATTACATAAAGGGCGAACCATTTTGAGGTATCTCGTTCAAAAAGTGGCAGCGACAACGTCTCAGATGGTCCATCCAATGAGTTCAATTTTCAATGACTCGTTCAAGCATTCCGACTGGTAATTGGCGAATGATACACCTAATGTATTGCCCCAAATCCTGAATCGAAGTGGGATTGTCGGCATCGACTTTAAACTTTACATATCCTCACAGAAAAAGGTCTAACCGACCGCTCCCAAAACGTAAAATTATCTGCTCGCCAAAATGTTCTTTCAATAAATCTATTGATTGATGCGATGTGTGTGAAGTGTCACAGTCTTGTTGCAACGAAATGTCGCCGAGATCACGAGCTTCAACTTCGGCCATCAAATAGTCGATTATTATGCCGCTGTAACGGACGCCATTGACGTTTCTGTTCTCACCGGCATCGTCATTGCTCACAAACCACACCAAACCGTTGTTTTTTCTCTATGAAATATTAGTAATTGAATCTTTCCGATTTGCTCTTTGTCCAAAATGAGGCAAGTTTGCTTGTTTACATACCCAATGAGTCAGAAATGGGCCTCATCGCCGAATCGACTCTCCATGGTTTTAGTGTACACTCTCAGCTACGGCGTGCTAAACGTGGTCTATTCGGTCGAATTTCATCCAATAATGAATGCTGGATCACAAAATGAGCGAAGGTGTTGATCCGAGAACTTGCAAGTAGTGGCTAAATGTTCGTTTTTGTATGATATCCAGAGAGTATTCAGGTGAATGGCAGCCAAAACCATTCCTCACTTGAGTTGACTTCTATACATCGCCCCAACCACCATTAATTCTGTCGTAAGTAAGTATACTTATATTTACCATATGCCGATCCGACGACCGATTTGATAATCTAAAGCTTATTACCTTCACTTCAAATGGGTAAAAAAAACAACACTTCACTTAATTGTTCAAATTTGTTTTAGATCACGATAACATTCGCCAACCTAGTTACACTAACAATGGAAAAGAAACAAAAGCCTCGGATCATGATTTGAGGGGTGGTCACCTGGAATGTCAGATCTTTTAATTGAGAATATGCCGTTGATCAGCCGGTTGATGTCCTAATATGGTTGAAGACTGACATCACCGCCATCTAAGAAGTGCAATGGGCCGGACAAGCACAGAGGAAGGATCTCAAATTTGGTATTTGATTTGTGGTGGGAGAGAGACACCGCCTTCACAACGGTTGGATGAACGTCTCACCACCACACGATGTTGTCAAGGGCACTTACTATAAGCGCTTCGAATGCGCCTATGAGCACTGTGAAAATTGTGCTTGACAACGGTGGGTAAAAAGTTTTTGTTTGGCTTATAGAGCCGAAAAATTCATGATCAAGCATCCCCAGACGATCTGAAGCTGATCGACTTCGCCGAGACCGGAAATATGGTTGTCTGAGGTATCAGATTTCTGCTCAAGAAAATCCATCAAGCTACGTGGTTGTCTTCGGATCAAAAGTGTCACAACTATATCAATCACGTAGTGATAGACGGTATTCTAGATGTGTTCAGGAACCTAACATCGACTAGGGTGATCAGCCAAAATACGCACCCGCCTCTGTGTATCAACCAAGGAGTCTGTGAGCTCCCTGCTGATAAATGCTATTAAAATAATACTGTATTTCAATATAAGTCTGTAATTAACAAAAGGTTTTAAATTAGAGCGAGGCGATGTTCAGCGGGCCTACTAGTTTTTAATGAAAGTTAGAAATGTTACGTATACGCAGTGACATGCTACGCAAGTTTTATCATGGGAAATAGTTAAAAAAAAATATTTATTTTTCATTTTACATAAATTTAGGAGACACTGCAAAAAAAAATAATTTATAATGAGTTGGATTATTTTCCCTACTTTAATGTTCTGCTATCTACCCAAGCGCATTTAAATTACTATACTCCAAGTTTATATTTAAACACATTCTGTATTTTGTGTCAACTATCAAAAGCGATTTTCAGTGATAGACAAACCAAAATGCACACTAATACTTACATACATTCAAAAGTAAATATATACGTGTACTTGCAACACTAGTGCACATGGTTACAGCAGAGCACAACGCAGCGCAACGACGCGGCAAATGTCAGATAAATAAACATAAAGTGGCTTACAAAAAATTGAAAACCCCAAAAAAAATAAAATAAAATAAAAAGAAATGAAAACTATTTTAGAAATGACGATCCCCTTTCACTGTAAACATATTTACATTTAAACAAACCAGCAAACAAATTTACAAATTTAAGCAAATGAGTAGCCATCAACACCACGCACGCAGCGGTTGTAGAGAGAGACAGAAATGCTAATTAATTAATGCATTGCTGTGTTGGAAATAATACTTTGATGAAATTATAACTCTTTTAGTAAAAAAACAAATTCCATTGAGAAGTTTTAAGTATCAGATGAAATAATTTATTTTGCATAAACAAAAAATAGAAATTGCAAAGTTTTATTGCGTTGTGCAGTTTTTCGTGAATTTTTTTTTCAAATTTTTTTTTTTTTCGTTTTTTTTTTTTTTTTTTTTTTTTTTTTTTTTTTTNTTTTTTTTTTTTGTTTTGTACTCGTAAATACTTTTCTGTTCTGTTGGTGTGCATAAATTCACCTTATACAAATTTTATTCTAAATATTTATTAGAATGGCGTGAAAATACTTTTAAATTTGTTGTAAATAACAAAAGTATTTAATCATTAACGGTAATTATGATAATTGTGCGTTTTTTGGTGAAAACAAAAATGTTTTTAAATTTTAAATTAATTTAATTTGAAAAAATTTAGTCAAAACATAACGTCCAATAGTTGTGGGGTAAAAAAAATTCTTGAAAAAAAAATATATATACGAAAATATCCAAGGCAGGATTAAGGGGCAGAAGGTTTTGAGTTGAATTTGTAGGTTCTTTTGCATCCACCTTATAGCCAGATGTTCCAGCTAGCGATGCATATTTGTTGTAAATCGGTTAAGTCTAACTGTGGCAAAGAAAATCTTCAATTTAATGCAAAAATAATTCATTACTTTTTACCAAAGTAGTTTTGGACTAGTACTAAACACAACTAGAATGTAAGTACTCTTATAATATTACTTAAGAATTTTTTCGGAGCCAATCAGTGTCGGTGCTACTGTCAATCTATCTGTGAGAGTCTGTTCTCTTCTTAACTGTATAACAAAATTGTATTTTTTCAATTCATCCAATTCTGTAGTATATTTATAAGTATTTTTATTGAAAAGTAATTTTTCTCTGTATCGAATGGTTTCTCTCATACAATATTTCGCCCACAATTTGTTTATGCTTCAGCTGCAAATTATATACAGACAATTGAAAATTCGCGATATTCCTTCAGCACCATAAACGGCATCACTCAACTCAACTCATCACATTCCTCAAATCTCACAAAATGAATGCGTGTGAAAAATTAATTTCACAAAACGCAATGAAAAAAAAAATAAAATACCAATTTTCATTTATAATTAAAATAACACTTTCGATTTTTTTTATGGAGCAATAATAATATTTGAAAAAATTAAAAAAAAAAAAACAATCACATAAAAATAAATATGAAGCGAACCGTAAGAAACAGACAAATCAATTATTCATTAAAGACTTTTGTACAATTTTCTTTATGTAAATTTCCTCAATAAAAACAACAATAACAATTTAATGATAAAGAGAAAGAAACAATACAGCAATTAAAAGCGGCTGGAGATGTATCCGTGGAGGGGACTATATGTGATATTCAATATATGTATAAATATATTTTAAAGGGTGCGTCGTTAGCTCAAAACATTTCAGGTACTGTCGTGACACAGTAAGAAAAGCAAGTGGAATTTCAACTGATATACACTCAATAACCTAACCTCAAAAGTCAATCAACTAAAACAGACACAGTCTTTTCACGGTCTTTTCATTTGCTTGATTTAATATTTATTTTCGTTACTTTTTTAATGCGTTGAATTGTTTTATTTCGTTGAAAATTGAATATTCCTAATTAAATATGCACTTGAAAGATTTTTAAATAACCGAACAATCGTCTTTCATACTCGAACGCATAACAAAGCCAAAACTTTATTGATTTATAAATGGAAACAATAATAGATATTTGTGGCAACAACAAAGGAGAAACTAAAAAAAAAATTAATATAAAATGCTAAAATGCTTATATATAAACTGCCTCAATGTGGTATCACTTTCCTAATGTAATATTTGAAATATGCATAATTCCAAGAACTGGACCAATCGAATAAGTATTTCTAAGCAAATTGAGATTTCACAAAATGTATTGCTTTAAATATATATTATACATACATAGGTAATACGCCTACTGGTTAATCGAGTTCTCATTTAATTTAAATTTGATTTTACGACGAGCCGATATTGTGCCAGATTATTAAATTAATTGCGTAATTATTTTTTTATTTTATTTTATTTTATTTTATTTAGTTTAGTTTTATTTTACTTGCCTTTCATACAAGAATAAAATGTAAATATATAAGAAAATCTTCTGAAGATTTGCTATATAACTCTCTTGAATACCGTAATAAGTTTAGACTTGTGAAGTTGCTAATAATTAATTAAATATTTCTGTAAATAGTGTAAAAAGAAACCGAAAAGCTTACATACAATCAAATAAACGTGTGTTCGATTCGTTGGGAATTCGTGTATCAATACCGTTTTGTGCATAAAAGTGTATATGAAGAAACTTAGTGTAGGTAAAATATATGAAAAAATATTTAAACATACATATGTATGTAAATATATTATGTAGAATATAAATTTATGTAGTAGTGTGTTTCAAATGACAACATGTAAACATGCAAGTGTATATATGTATACGAGTTTGCACATTGTATGTTTATATGCTGAGTGTAATTGAAATCGAAATCAAATTGAAACACAATAACAACGACGATTGTGGGGAGTATGCGTGTGCAGACACTCTCCGCGCACATCCATGCAACAGCGTCACCTACTCGCAGCGCAACCTACTTGCTTTCAACGATGTTTTACTCTGATTGCAGTCGCTATTTTCACCGTTACTGCCGCCGCTGACGTGTCCACTAATTAAATTTTCATCTAGGGAAATACTGCCATCGAACCAATGCATGACACGTTCTCGCCGCTGTGCGTTTGATTGCCACTCCCGCGTCGTCGTAGAGAAGCGTTGTTCCACTGTAGCAGACAGTGGGCTATATTTGTGCACTATAAATGAATGCGATTATATACTGCTATATTTGTTGTTATTTTAATAAACAATCAATTGTGTAAAGATGTTGTTGCACTTGTTTAATTGTTGTTAAGAAAACCCAAATTTTTGATTCAGGTAAGGTATTTTTAAATTTGCATTTTAGGATTCTATTTCAATTTGAGTAGCACTGGATTTGTATTATCACGTCACCACATCACTTCAATGTCGCATCGTCACTTTTTATGCGATTGATTTTTGCTTGCAAAAGATACCTTTTTGTTGTTTTTGGTGTTTTTGAGTTGTTTATAATTTATGATAATATTATATTTAGTGTATAGTATTTTCACTCACACACTTGAGGAAGATAGTTAATAATATAATTTCTTTTTTATGACTTTATTTTTCTTCTTTTGCCATTTTTACTTATTTTCACAGTTTTTACAACTTTGTAATTTAATAAAAGTTTTTGTTATTAAATACAAACTTTAAGAGGTTAGTTAAGTAATATATTATCTGCAAAAATAAAAACATTGAAAAAAATAGGAAAATGCAAAAAATATTTTTATATATTTTTCTAGGCACTTTAAACATTTTTTTATAATGGTTTTGTCTAAAAAGATCCCTACTGGTGTTTTCTGAGGAATAATTCTCTAAAGTAATTTAGTGAAAACTTTATGAGTTTGTGTTCTTACGGGTACCCATTTAGGCGGAATAAAGTTGGCAGAGGTTTGAAAATGAATTTAGAAGACAAGTACGGAGAATATAGTGAAACGAATATCATGGATAGGATAGTTTTCTCTTGTAGCAGGAGAAATCGAATTAAATTTTAAAATTTCTAGATTCAAGCATTTTTTACGAACTATTTAAATTTTTTTTTTAGCTAAACTAGAAGTGTTGCGGATTTTTCAGGGCGGCTTTTATTAAAATTTACAAACAATATTAAAGTTCTTCAAGTTTTGTCAAGATTTTGACCAAGAAACCCTCTTGGTATCATTTTGTAGGTTAAAATTTAAAACATTCGGATTAATCGACTGAATATTTCAAAACAATTTGAGATTCTTCAAAAACTGTTAATTTAAACCTACGCATATAGACATATAGACATAATTAATTTCATTTTATTTTTTTTATTTTATTTTATTATATTTTATTTTATTTTATTTTATTTTATTTTATTTTATTTTATTTTATTTTATTTTATTTTATTTTATTTTATTTTATTTTATTTTATTTTATTTTATTATATTTCGTTGTAATTCAGTTTATTTTGTTTCACTTTAGCCTAGTTGCTATGTCCTAACGGTCTTTTATTAGCGATGCAATCGATGTTTGGAAAACAAACAGGAAGTCGCAGAATGTTTGAAGTGATGTGATGTGCCGCGAGTTGAAAATATAAACAATCGACGAAAATACCATATGAATATAGTAATTCACTTTTCCAATTGTTTATTTTTGCTATAATAAACAAGTTGGTAAAAAGTAACTTTTTATATTTAATTTGTATGGTTGGAAAATATTTCTTTTATTGAGTTTCACTTTGACAATTTTCACAAGCTTTAAAGAGTGTAAAGTTGGAGAGAACACATTTTATTTACACTGTTATACGCACTAGCAAATTAGTTCAGCTGACAAACTACTTGAGGCTACACCGCGCGACTCCCAGTTCGACGACACCAAATTAAAGAAAATAGAGACTCGCGCTCGTATTAGACACACATTCGTATCACACGTAGCGTTCTCGCTCGACAACGAAATTCCGCTGCACGTCAAGTGGGCGAACAAAACGCATCCACGCGTGTAATTTGCAAGCGGTTCAGCGAAACCGAAACCAAAACCGAAACTAAAACTGAAATTTCAAAATAGAAAATCAACTGGAAAACTGAAGGCGGAAAATTGCGAGTCGCAAAAGACAACGATAGCGACAGCATCTCAGACGACGGCGACGTCGGTGGCAACAACGACAAAGCATACCTACCTACAAACACCCTCTACAAATGCCACACATGCACTCTATTAACGCTGCATTGACCAAATTGGAGTGGCGATGGAGCAACAACGTCTGCGACGGCAGTGTACTCAATGGTGTGCCAGCAATTTGTAACTTACTGCATATGGACGATTTAATTGGGGGACAATGTTGTCGCCCTTGTTGTCGTTGACGCTGTCGTCGCTTTCGGCGCAGACGACGTCTTCGACGCTCACTGGCCGGACGCAGTGAGTCGAGTATGGCAGCAAAGTGGAACGTCGACCACCAGAACCACCAAAGCGCACCAAAGTTGCAATCGTCTGTCGCAGATGCGGCACTAGCGGCGGCCGCTGCAGGCCGAGATGATGGCGGGCAACGTGCTAGCCGGGCAGCCGGCAACATTTCACTGGCAAATTGAATTGCATCAAAGAAATATGTTGGCTAACAAGCTGCAACCAAACTGGGCAGATGACAAGCAGCAGAAGAGGCGAGACGTGGCTAGCAAACTACAGGCCCACCGCCGTACTGGCCGACCATTATCGAGCCGAAGCCCGTGTAAACTGTAACAAAGCGTTCAGAAAATGTGGGCGTACGTACCAAGTGCATACACAATACATACTATGTAATCGAGAGTGTGTTTGTATATTTATATAAAAGCAAGTGTACGTACATACATAGGTATTTGTGTATTTCTCATTGTGTATTTAATTGTATCTTTAGACAACAGCCAGCCTGCACTGCCGAGTTTCGTTTCGATCGTTGAATTTCTGCTGTTGCATGTTGTTTTAGTCAAGAGGAAGCAGCTGGTGTCGTTGGCACTGCCCGAAGTGGGATTGTATAAGTGTGGCGGAGACTAAGCATGCAAGTTGATTGTTGTTGTCGCATTGCTTAGCTGCGTTGCAGCTTAAGCAGCCATCGATAAAATTGTGCGTGCGTGTGTGTGATTCGCACACATCTGTGGTCTTACTTAATTGTATTTTTGTTTTAGTGCATTTGCTTCGCTGTTTTGGCACAATAAACTGAAAATTAACCGTCTTTTGAAAAGCTGCCACATTTGTTGAGCCTCAAGCGCAGAGTGATGCCATTTTGTTTGAATAAAATATTCTTTTAGAAATGATTCTAAAGAAAATAGTATTCCAACGAAATGAGGGACCAGAGCTGGTATTAAAGAGTCAGTGAATTCTCAAGGGAAACAAGAATTTGCGCTCTGAAAAATATTGCGATCGCCCATAACACGTACGGGGTTGCATAGATACCCAGAGCTGAAGACGAAAGCAAGACGCATTTGCAGACAAATACGAAAAGGGCTGAGTTGCGTGAGTATGAGGGCGTGAAAAGCTGGCCGACAGGTGCAACGCCTGAAAATTCTAAGAAAACATACGGCGACTTCGACAAGGTTTTAAGGGCGGAGCAGACTTTGGTAGAGCACACAGAAGAGGATCTGTTGCCCAAAATATGTTGGAGAGTTCGAATAGCAATCGCTTGAAAAATAACAAATCGACGGATTACGGGTCGAGATATTCAAATACAGCGGTGAAGAACTGATAACAGCTTGTATACTAAATATTACCGGATGAAAGCTGGCTCGACGTTTGGAACCCTAGTATGCTCTGCGCAATCCACAAAAAAGTCAATCCCACAGCCTACGACAATTATCGCGGGATAAGACTCACTGATATCGCATATAAGGTTCTAACGAACGTTTTGAGCGAAAGACTAAAGTCGACCGACGCAACAACTGATTAGACCTTATAAGAGTGACCGAAAACCTTTTCGTCTATGATCGCGTAAGTTGTGCCAACGCCAATAAAGAATAAGACCAGATATTCATCATGCGCCACCTTTTGGAAAAGACCAGTGAATTTTAGGATTGACACACCCCACCTCATCGTCGATTTTAGAATAGCCCTCCTTGGCAAAAAATGTAGCAGCATAAAAGCACGCTATGTCTGAATTCAGTACTTGACGCGCATTAAACAACATCAACAGCTCTATCAGGTTCGGGAAGCCATTCGATACCGAACGAGGTTTCAGACAAGGTGACTACTAATTGTGTGACTTCTTCATGAATTTATGTCTGGAGAAAATAATACAATAATGAGCTGTATGAAGAAAGTAAATTATTCAACGAAGGTGTACATCTGCTGAGATACTTCGACGATATTGACAACCGCGTCCTGAGTACTGCCTTCGCCAGAGTAGATAAGTAAGCGAAAGATAAGGGTCTGGTAGTAAATGATGACAAGACGAAATATCTCCTCTCATCAAAAAAAAAAACATTCGCGACTTGGCCCCAAGTTGCTGTTGGCAGTCATAACTTCGAAGTCGTAGATATCTTCGTATATCTAATCAACAACAATGTCAGCCTTAAATCGCTCTAGCCAACAGGTGTTACTTTGAGTTGAGTAGGCGTCGACGAACGAAGACCAAACTCTACAAGTCGCTCGTTTAACTTGTCAGCGAAATGAAATGGTCAATTAAAGTTACCAAGAAATAATGAATGGCTCTCGGCAACGTGTCTCGAGAAAGCCGATTAACCTTCCAGTGTAAAGGCGCTCTTAAACTTCATAGCTCTAGGAAAATATTTTGCAATTCTCAGCCGGCTTAAAGTTCTTTTTAAATTTGTTTTTCTTTAGTCCTAAAATTTTATTTTGTTAATTAGGAATTTTCAATTTTTCATAAAAATATTAATTTTTAAATATACATATGTACATAAAAATCACATTTTTACTTAAAATTTATTTACCAGTAAGTGGCAACTCTCTACACACTTACAAAAATATTTTCTTCGATATTTTGAGTGCCAATTTTCTTCTATCATACACCCGCATCATTGGTTCTATTTAACAAACGCGTGGTGCAGCAATTCCACATACGTTGATTCACTACACACATACATATGTACATGCGTGCAAAGGACTTACACCTAACTACCTGCTCGATATGTGTAAGTATGTATGAGCTTGTTGTAGCATAGCAAGCGTGAACATCGTAACTACTATGGCGATGGGAAAAGTACTATAAAGAGGAAGAAGACAGACAGCAACCCCTTCAGTAAGAAAGATGACGGCGACGACGATGACGATGACGATGGCGACAACAGCTCAGCCGTTGGCGATTACAATGATGCTGGCATTCAAAGGCACTTAAAGTGTATAAAGACTGCATCTAAGCGGAAAATAATCGAAGGAAGCAAATCACTCGAGGGAGTATGTGCATACGAAGACATACATACATCTGAGCGCATACGAGTATTTATGAGTAAAACAGCAAAACATCATACATATGATATTTAATGTCTAAACTGTGTGCGCAAGCTGGTTTTAAAACGTACTAGTTCATTACTTGAATTTTATGGCTGACATCATACTAGTCCGAAAAACATCAAACCGAAACTAATTGCAAAACTATGAGTATTATAAATTTATTTATTTTTAAAGCATTTCTTCTAAAGTAGTTTTATACTAGTTCATTATTAACAGAGGTACACACCCTATCCATACCGACTGATGGCTTTATATGAAGAGCCTTTATTTCATGTCAGAAATACTTTCAGAGGTGTTGAGCTTACCCAGCAAAAGACATTTTTGTAGCTAACTAGTTCATCTTCCGTCAATATCCCATGTAAACAACTAGTAGTTTTAGCATGGCGTTGTCCAAAAACCTACCAATTGCCCAACTATGCCCCCAGCTTTGTACTAGTTGTGGACTGGTTCGTTTGGGCATGTTTTATGTCTTCTTCGCCGAAAAAAATAAATATTAAAATGAGTTGGGGACTGGAAAGGTTAATCTCATACGCGGCAGTGATAACCTCTAACCTCTCTTTCGGCTATCGTGACGATGTAGAGATCTATGTCATTTTGAGCACTTCAACTGAGCGTTACAGAGCAGAAAACTCAGAGGTGGGAATGAGTTTTTTTTCGTTAGTGACGAAATGTTATACCAATAATCAACCGATATATAGATTCATCTTTAAAATACTAGTATTTAACTAGAAATTTGACGTAAGGTAGACTAGTTTCTGCCTGCTGGGTAGCGAACTGGTTTTACGCTACACTTGTGTGTTAGTTTTTATGCTGCTAACGGTCTTGAATCGATTAGCTCACATATTGGAATGCAGCGAATTATGTAAATACTTGCATATGTATATTAGGTGCACAGTTTATTTTCACGAT